TGGAATGAATCAGAGAGGTGCGTGGGTCTTTTGAAGTCTATTAAAATTCAAAATGGTATGCGACCAATTAGTAATATTGATTTAAACCAGTTTTTAACTGGGCATGGAAGATTTCCCGCGCACCTTTCGAGATTTAATTTACAAAATTCAGACTTGTGTGGTCATTGCTATCAAGTTGGTAACGCAGATCACTTCTTGAATCATTGTTCCTTACTGGAAAATTTGAGAAAGAAATGTTTGGGAGATAAGTCATGGAACTTGAAAATCGTAAAAACATATTCTAAATGTGCAATGTGCAATGGATTTGATCAATTCTAATATTGAATTTGGAATATTTGTTTAGTATTGTGTATATTTATCTTTTGATTATATGTATTATATTTTCAGTTATGAGTATTTATAGGTTTTACTACGAAAATTTTGAAATTTTTCTGTGTGTTTTATTTAATGCATTGTGGATGTTTTGTACATGCGGTATTTCGAAGAGATGCAGTTGAGTTGATTGTTACATAGATATGGCTTTGCAAATGCTGAGAATCCTGATGGATTACCAGATTTAAATTATCGAAATTAGTGGTTTTGAGTTTTAGGATTTTGATTTTTAAATTTTAAATTTTTATGGAATTTTTTATTTTTAATTGTAGTTTTTGATTTTAAAATGTTCTGAAATTTTAAAGTTTTAAAATTTTTTCTTATATTCTGTTCTTAATGGAGTAATTACTAGGGTTTTAATATGATACATGGCAATCTTAAATTTTTCCAGTTTCGGTTATTGGCAGTCCTGGAGCTTCTTTCTATGATTATTAAGGATAATTAATACATTTGAATTCAGATAGTAGTAGGACTATTAAAGTAAATTTTTAAAATAAATTAATAGTTTAAATAGAATTATGATTTTACAAATAATATGCTATTAAAGTAATACTGTAGGGAATTCGGTTTGACCTTCTGCAGGTTATTTAAATTGGGAATTCCTCGATGGCTTTGGACCGCCTGTGCCTGTTCCGAAAATTCATGTGAATGAATATTTCTTGAGAGTTTCAGCCACTCTGTTTGCTCGTGGAGTTTTTCATTGTTTTTGGATTTTGAATGTTGGTGTTGTGCTTCGTTGTTTGTATGTCTCTTCCTTATTTTTAGTTCGTTAATTAACCTCCAATTATTTTTAGATAATTAGCTTCTTTTTCTCTCTTCTTTCCTTTTTTGGTCTTGAGGGGGTCGACCTTTCATAATCATATGGTCATGGGACTAGGAGGATTGGGTCTTCTCTGTATTATGACTATTATGACTTGGAGGAGGGCTTTGATAACGTTTCCTCAGTTGGCTACAGCGTGTATTTCGACCACGTGATGCGGAGCTGTTGCGCTGAAAAGTTCAGCTTGGATGACTACTAATTGGGCAACCTGTTTGGACAGATCATCAATATAAGCTTGTAACGCCACAATACCTGGACCAGGAGCCTGCACTGCGTGTATTTGCGCTGGAATGGCCATCTCGTGAATTTTATCAGCGATTTCGGGAAGATTTTTAAGTGGCTCGCTACTGGCCGCTAAAATAGTTTGCATGTTAGATGGGAATCTATTCATCCATAATGTTTTAAGAATGTTATCCGTTAGGTTACCGGCGACTAAATCTGACATTTTAGACAGCAAGTGAGAAGGCCTCATATCACCCAACCGTAAATCATGCAACAGCTGTTCGATTTTAACTGTCTCGGATTCTTCATAAACAGAAATTAATTTTTTTTTAAAGATTTGTAATTGTCCGTCGTCGATGGATTCAAAATTATTTCATGAGCTGATTGCAGTACCTCTGATTCTAACGCAGCGATCCCTGTATACAATTGAGTTTCGTCGGCAGTAATGTGACTCAACTGCGCATCCAATTGAATGAACCATAACGATGGGTCTCGGCGAGAAAAAGGCGGTGGCTTAACTGCCACTCTCGCCAATTGCGAAGCAGCATCGTTGTCAACCACTTTGGCTCAATCAAATATGCACAATAATAATATGTATAGAAAAATAATGAATGTATGTATAGTGACACAGTTTCTTGGTACTCGAAATCAGAGAAATTGGAGGCTCAAATGCAGCAGACGATACATATATCCGCTGAAATTATGACAGAAATATGTTGACTCACCGGAATGCGGCAAAAAACTTGAAATGACAGGTGAATGTCTTACTTGCATCTCATCACACTGGATAACTTACTGCTGCTCAGAATTTAAACATATAAACTCCATACTTGTGCAACATTGAAGGTTGCCATTCGTAATAAATGCGTGTCACCAATTATGGTAGTACAATTTTTTGAGACAGATCGTTAAACAATTCTAACAATTGAATGGAACAAATATTATTTTTGTTTTTGGTTGCTATGGGTTATCAGACTGGCAGAGTTGAGTTGTAGTAGGTAAGTTGCCACATATCTGTTTATCTATAATGTATATTAAACTTTTTAATTGTTTAAAAACTGTACTTTTTAAAAACACTTATATAAATATGTAAAATAAATAACACCTTTTTTAACTAATTCTAGATCATCGTATAGGTCAGATTTTTCCGCCGACACAGATGCATTTCCGAATCCAAGGCTAGTGCAGTTAGGTAGTGACTAATCTTTATATATTTTTGAGCATTTTATGGCAGATTCAGCATTTTATTATTATTTGCATTATTTTCTTATTACGAATATATTCTATACATTATATTACTGAAAGTTTTTTTGTGTGTGTGGGGGGGGGCGCCAAAAAGTTATTTTGCCCCGGGCGCCAGTTACGCTTGCTACGCCACTGCCTCTGCTTTAAAAAGCTTTTCCCCAATATTTAGTTGAAGATGACGCAATTGCTCTACTTGTCATGTTGATCATTGAACAGACGCTTTTATGTTGCAAAAAATATGTTACCTCAGAATCTGAACTAAAATTTAAATCAAATATGTTTCTTAATTTGCAAAAGTATTCAAAACAGTTTGATTAATATTAGTATATTTTCTTTGGTTGTATTGTTTTCAAACATTAATTTTCACACTACAAACTTAATATTGTACATTGTATTGTTTACTTTTATTATATGAAATGCTTCAAAGGTCTTCAGCTAAACAGTTTATGGTAAATCTCCTTACTGCATAATTTGATAATTTTCTCCCTGCTAAATCGTAATCTTTCATTCGCGATATTATTTCATGTTTCACCAGGCATTAAAGCTTTAAAGCTAACGAATGTCCAATGTAAAGGTAGTACGCATTTATTAGCTGCATAATTTTTTAAAAAAACTGGTTTCGTTCCCACAGCTTGTAAGTTAAAGCTCTGCAGTATAAAAATCCCTAAATTAGGGTTTAAATTCTGTGTTTACTATGCGCATCAAAACCCATTTTTATCATGTGAAATCTGTGACATAAATGATTTCGCTGGAGATACTGATCAACGACTGCTTTTGTTGCAGAAAAATATTATGATGCTGATTTCGCTTACAAAGTCAGCATTTCTCTCTCAGGTTTCACTATCCTGTAACAGAATGTTCTTTTGATACTGTTATTCTTTTAATACTGTTCTTCGTCAAAACCAATTAGACTGTCAGTATCAACCCGTAAATACATTGTTTCCAATAAGTTTTCATTAAATAATAATTTTCCACACTTCATTCAATAGTAGTTGGCCTAAAATAGGGGTATTTGGAATTAAATACATAGATTCTGAGCCCTTAGTATGTCCTCAAAAAGTGTACTTGCCACATCTTTTCTTTAAATCAACTTCAGTTAAATAATTTGTGAAGGTAGTGAATAGCAAAGGAGAAAGATTTTCATTTTCTAAAAATTTAGTTACTCAGAATTATTTATTATTAAGAAAGACAACGATTGTTAGTTTCCAAATTAGGGTACCGATGAATGATTCTGAATTTATAGTTACATTATCTATGGCGGAATTTGATATGAACATGGAAATCCTTTAAAATGTCTATAGAACCTTTTAGGTAATCAAAGGCAGAAAAATGTAAGACGTTAAATAATAATCATCTAACAAGTCGAGAAGCATGTCGCTTAGGGTACATTTTCTAATTTTGAAACTTAATTCTTTCCAAAATATTTAGGATCCATAGCTGATGAAAGCCATAGCATTGAAAAGATTTCCATCAAAACATGTTTACAATGAAAATACTCCAAAAGGAAATTCGGAGTCCCAAAATACTAATCGACGATTTTTGTATCTAGAGAGATAGTTCTGAGATAATAAAAAGTATATAACAAAGGAAATCAAGAAGAATTTCATTTTAAGCAAAATAACTCTAATTTTAATGACATACATATGAAAATTAACAATTATATTTTGTAAAAACTGAAATTTTAATTATTCAAACAACAGTGTGGGGGAATGTGGAAGATTTGTCAACCAATTTAAAATCAGCCTGCCCCTTCTTAAAAAAAACAGCTACAAAGTTAAATGTTCAAACTCTCTAAAACAAATAAAAAAAAAACAAAGTACGTAACATCTCTAAAACAAAGTACGTTTGACTGCCTAGTTACAAACGCATAACCTACTAAGTTATATATCGTCAGGAGACACTCCTCCTGTTTTGTATTAACATACATCAAAAAATATTTTTACCACCTGATTTTCATTTTTTCTTGTAGCTGAAGATCTTAAATTCATAACAATTTACATGTGCTATCTGTGGAATAAAATATAGGGTGTTTTTACTCCTTCAATAAACCTACAACTTATCAGCTAATCTCGAAATGCGTATACTTTTTCCCCTAGAGTAAACATCAAGCTAAGTTTTCATTTTTACTAATTTAAAATTTAGATGCATAATTCATAAAAGATATAGGCCTAGAATTCTATCATCTTCATGCCCAGGTTCCCTTTAATTGTAATATTAAATAGAAAATGGTATTTGTGTCTAGTTACAAAATGGTGTTATGGTAAAATTTGTTTTGTGGAATTTAATTCGGCATATTATTATTTGACTGATATTTAGTATAAATGGTTTTCTATAATTTCAGCTGGGTATGAAGAAGCTATAACAATAGCCAGGCCACCACTGGCAACATTCCCTGAGAAACCGACATCCGACAAAACTGGGTTTGTCATCTGCCTATACCAAGTCCTTCCAGGAGATGATAGCTCCAAGTTTGAACATCATTGGATGGTTTGGACTGGTGCGAGACAAATCTATCGCACAATACCTGAATACATGGGCTTGAAAAGGATATCTGTACATAAGAGCGTACTTCCTACCAAGATCATTAATTATTGCTTGATATGTGAATTTTCTAACATTATGGAATATCTGACTGAAGCTTGCGTAATTATCGATCATCTCAGAGCCCGGTGTTGTGGATTTACTGGCATCTATCGAGTTCTGGACACATTATAGTGTTGCCAACAACGTGGAATGTTTTTATCATTGTTCTTCTAGTCATGGAAGAGTTTTGATTTCAACAACTCATATGCCAAATTATTCTGCAAAAACTGTTTTGGGAACACATCGTTTCATTTGCATGATAAAGGATATAGGTGAATAGCAACATTTGTAAGATGCTTCATCTACTCGTTATTCTTGTGTCTGAAAAGAAAAATGCATGTGCAAAAGAGAAAAAAATTGGCCTACAGCCATTGTCAATTGTTATGACATCAGTGGATCTGCAGTGATCCATTAAATGTTCAAGTACAATTAGAATTCCAAGGCAATATTTATTGGGCGGAAATATAATGGGTGAAAAATATTTTGAATTATTCGGTGATATATTATTATCAATTAAAAACAAAGTCTTCTCTTTCAAGTGAAAACGATACCAAATTCTTACAAATTACGTGAAGAAGAAAGGTGTGTTGAAATCTTTAATTCATATATCATTTTAGAAACAATGGAAACTAGATTAAAAAACGAAAACTCAACGTAAAACTAGTCTTAAAGTTTTGAATATTATAACAAAAATCATAAAATTCAGAAGTATGGTTCTCTATTACATCGAAGCACTTTTTTTCCTTTTTTGAAAGAAGAGAATGAAATTTTAACCTAGGTAAGGAAGTTTCTACCGAAAATTAAATTAATGAATTTTGCTAAAATATGTCGTGTTAACTGAACAAATTATGTAATGCTGTCTTTCGAAATTGATTAAAAATGATTTATCATTATTTTGTGCAGCTGGCATATATAAATATATACTTTAAATATTTAAAGTTTTTAATTGCATAAATGCCCATTTTTAGTGCTTATGAAATATAAATGAAATAAGGCTTTATAATTAGCAAACAAAATTTTATCGGTTTCATTCCAAAACTTTTGAAACTAAATGTTGACAGACTGTTTTGAAATTATAAAAATGAAAACAGTTAAAGTAATAATGAACTGATGTTATGTTAAAAAAAAGCATAATAATCGCAGGATTGATTTATGTATACAACATTTATTTATTGAATCAAATACGCAATGATTTAGAAACCCTTTCTGTTTATTTATTTTCGAAAGGGAATGAAGTAAGCGACTTTAATATTCTCTCTTGACTTTATTTAACTTGCAATAGAAAGCTAAAAGTATTCTAGTAAATTTCTCATGCAATACATTCGCATTTCTCATTTCAATTGAAAACTATTAATTTATATTTCAGTATTGTATTTCAGTATTGTATTCAGTAATGAATTTGTGCAATGTAGCTTATCTTTAAGTAAAGCAATATTGCATTCATAACATGTTAAATAATATAAATAATAAAATGCGCAGCTACGTAATTTTGAAATTTTATTATTTTCACCATCATTTATAAAATTGTTTCACTCTTTATAAAAGAGATCTTTTTTAAATTTATCAATGATATATGAGATTAAAAAAATAGATAATTATTTACTGAATTAAAATCCCAGAAACAAATAAGCTGATATTTAATCTAATAAGAGACATCAACTTTAGTTCTAATAGTTAATTAAATATGTAATGCTGAAGTTTGACGTTTTGAAATGATTTCCTAAAACTTATATTCAAAGCCAAATGAAACAATGCTTATAGCAGTGAAAATATAGGTCATATATTTCGAAAAACTATTATTCGAAATTTAATTAATAAATATAAAATGAATTAAATGGCTTTAATGAAGCAATAAACATAACATAAGTTCAGAAATAAATTTAAATTCAAAATTAGAAAACTAAATCACATTTACATTGTCAAGAAATTTTATTTTATTTTATCTTTTTGTTTCTAGCGATGGCGTATTAACTTCACTATTATGACACCTAGGCAACAACGTAGATCATATTAGGAATGTCGTTTTCCTTTATTAATGATAATGCGATTTTAAAACGCGTTGTCTTCTTCTAATTACATTATATTAAAAGATATTTCTGACAGCAACATACTATGTGCTTCAATGACATGTATAAATATTTATGAAACATCAACTTGATATGGACGAAATATTATTTAAAGTATTTATAAATATATTATTACTGATATAAAATAATAAATAGATGAAAGAAAAGGACTTTGAAATTACATATTATACGTGAATTGCGTATACGGAAAACCGAACTTTTTTTGACAAGATGTTTCAGTCGACAAAATTTGCGAAATACTTGTTTTCCAAAAAACGTTTCTGAAAGAATGTGTTACAAAACCAAAATGATGCTAAGTGTAATATATTATTATTTGTATTTTATCTACAGGGGAAAAGAAGCATTGCAGGAAAAGTATGGAAGCTGGTGATATGTACATTTCAGTTAGAATTTAGTATGTTCATAAATAATTATTTGTACTCATTCAAGTTTCATGTATAACCTGTAAATTTGTAGTTTGTGTACTTTTAACGTCTCCAGTGTATTGTTCTATTAACCGTATACCTGCAAAACTCAGTTACAATAATAATTTTATTAATTTTTTGCTTTTTTAATATTATCTATTTAGACAAAAATACAAAAATAATAAAGGAAATAACTCGAATTTATTTGAAATTTTCTTTTATGAGAACATCTCTACAATATTTCACACATACATATATGGTAGTAATGAAGTCATTTGCATGTTCAGTTGTATAATTTCTAAATAATCACCAAATAATTGATTATCGTAAATAAATTTTTTGTTGGTTTTCGTGTAAAAAATGTTTAAGAAACATTTATAATTGCAATAAAAATGTATGATAATATATCGTTTTTGTTAAAACAAATAATTTAAAAGATATTTTCTACTCGAGAAATAATTCAACTAAAACTTTTTTCTTACCTAGAAACTAAAAATATTACTAATTCAAATGATTTTGTATAAATTTATCCAATTACGAACGTGCCAGGTAAACGGTTAATATGAAAGGAACCATATATTTATAAGAGAGATTTGTAAACAGCAATAGTTAAATATATGTATAAATTTAATTCTCTTGTGATGTACCCTAATAACATTCCTTCTATTGTTGAATAAAATTTTGTGTGCTAAATCAGGTATCAATTAGAAATTCGAAATTGTCATCCTATTATGGAGATATTTTTCCATCCAAATTCGTTTTGAAATAATATTTCACTTGTCTTCTTATTTCATCTAAGTATTTATAAAATACAAAAATCCCTATTAAATGAAAGTTTCTACAGAGAGTATGTTGTATTTTTATTGAATATTTTATTCGTATAAATTTTCATTTATAAAGGATAACTGATGCATTATTAAACACGAATAACGTAAAATAACTAAGATGTTTTCATGATTAGTTTAGCAACTTTTCCGTAAATTCCGTAAAGGCTGATTTAAAAATTTTATGTCTTGAAATCTAAAGAAGAAAAATGTTTTTAACCATGTGCATAATTTATAAAGTTACGTATTTTACTTTTTTTTTTTTTTTTTTTTTTTTTTTTTTTTTTGCTGTGATTAATTGCGTCATATTTTATACCACTTTTGGTCGTAAAGAATGAATCCTAAAATACATCTTTTGCTAATATTTAATCTAACTATTTAGAAATCTAAATGAAGGAAACATTTTTAAATAGATCTCACACCTTAATGATTTGTATTTTTTCAGCTATCTAAAGAAATTATTCCGAATATTATTTTATAGAAGTGCAAATAGTTGAAAACAATATCTTTTAATTCAGGAAATAGAAATGATCTTCATAGAAAGATAACTACTTTGGAACGTTGTTCCATACCTGTAACAAATGCATTCGAAAATATTTTTCATATTATAATCTAATGCCGTATTATATTTAAACATGAAATATTTTTTGATTTTCTTCCTATATTATTTCACTTAAAACGTTTTATTTACCGTTTCCCACAAATATGCAATCTGTGCTTCAAATTTAAATAAGTACTCATATAGAATACGCTTTACTACTGTCAGTGACTACTTATTAACCATGTTTATAAATTTGCTATAAAATGCTATTACAGCTATATTTGCAATTTTTACATTAGCGACAGTTATTTATAGCTATTTTTTGCTTTGATTCAACTGAGTAAGCATAAGTAATGTAAAGTACATTACAGTTTTAACCAATTTTTAGCTTCTTCTCATACGTACTTTTTCCGTAATCCGCGTAATGATTTCTACATGCAATTTGCAATATTTATGCTGCAAGAACATGACTTTAGTACAACAGTATAAGCTATCTTCTAGTAGTAAGAGAATTTTCAGAATTCTCTGCATTCTTGCTTCATTTCTTAGAGACAACGTTTTCAAAACTTTTCATATTGCTTATTAAATTATTATGCGCTGGTAACAAAAGTTTACATCATTTCTATGAACTTTTGTAAAAGCAGGGGGTCTGACTCAAAATAAATAAATAAACATGTAAATACCCATAAATAAAATTTTAATAAATAAACCTCATACATATTTAGATACTTTCAGTAAATTTTACGTGTATCTGTTCATTTATATTTTAAAGTTTTCTCTCCGAGAATTGATCAAGTGAGAGATCAGGAGTAGTAATTTGAGATTTCGAGAAGCAACACATTATAACGTCATTTTCCTCATTTCAAACTTAGTATCTAGAAAGATTAGTAACTTTTTGTTCTTTTTAATCATTTTGCATTTCTGAACGAAAGGATTAGTATATACATATATCCTTAGCCATTAAATTTTCTATACTAAAAGAAAAGCATACCATAAACCTGAAATTTGCATGAAAAGAAGAACATGCTGGGATATGTAAATGATTTGCATTTCATGGTACTTACTGGCAAGAGTAATGAACTCGGCGTAGTATAAAAGTATAGATTTAAGCGTCTTTACTTTACACGGTCTTTCCTTTTTTCCTTTTCTCCAGAAACTGCGATTACTCGGTATTTTTATCCACTTCTGTACATTAGAGATCATGTTGTGTAAGAAGAAGTAACTCACACCAGCACATCTTAGTATTCGATCGCATTGGAATCATAACGTATCAGAACCAATACCTGCTTGCAGTAGTCAAGACTTAAAGCAACGTGCGAAATCTTAGCAGCTCCACTCTACAGTACTTGATATGATAGATACTTTGTCTCTATCGCTATTAGAAATCATACAGCTGCGTCACATGCTATCGGTTAGAAAGCTAACTGGCTGCTCAGTACCAATTAATACTACGTAGGATGTAATGATGCCTACAACTCTACGGATTATCAGCCAGGCGATGGTTGCTTCATTTTCCCTTACGCTATAGCGCAGAAATCAGAACCTAAAGTGATGCATTCCAGGACGCACATGGGCGTATCAACGGCATGCCATCATCTTTCCAAAGAATGCTGCTCTTGCTTACCAAATCGTGATGGCTGTATCTGAGTGTAAAAGCACTGATAGGAATGATCGTTGGAAGCTGGTATTTCTGACCCAGCACTTTGATTCAAAATATGGAGTGTCATTGGGTGCACATCCTATACACCTCTAATTCTCATATCCTGTAGTTTGATCAACCACCGTTACATTAGTGAAATTTTAGCGCCTGTGGCTGTGACTTATCTTTCAACACAGTCCCACCTTTCAACAGGTAAATTGAAAACTGCTTGTTTTCTATGCTGCCTTAAACTGCACTCAGATCTATCCTAACAATGAATCAAACTTTTCCGAGCTAACTAATATGTTAAAACCGCTTCTTTGGCGAAGACCTGCGCGAGACAGAGCATGAGCAGCACAACATTTTGGCCAGAAACGCAGAATTCCCGTGTTCGTAGCCGCGATACAGCTTCCAAGGGAACTGTTTCAGCTAGTATCTTCCCGTTTAAACAAATACTAACGAGAAGCTTGTTTCTTGGAAAATGTTTTTCTAGCGTTGCTAGATAACATTGATCAGATAACATAGATAACATAGATAGAACGCTAGATAACACTGAGTCGCTAGATAACATGATCGCATTTCGTTTCCTCAACACACAGAGTGTTCGACTGTTCTTTGGCCGGTGCGTTTTCCAGAGGTCTCTGGCCAATTGGAAATATACTTTACATTAAAACAAAGCAAACTCTAGCTACGAGAAATATTCAAAAGTTTGTGCGTTGGCAAAACTATGCTCATTATGTGGAAACGAATCTGGACTTGTCGCCTATGAAAATAATCTGTATCGTACTGTTTTACTGTGAGAGAAACCGACGTTCAGTTATAGTTTGTTTGCTCAAGTCGAATTTATTACAGTGGTGGATAAGAAGGATACAGATGCTTCTAATCAGATTATCAAGCATTTTAAGTAAGAGTGAAAGGAAAGGTGTATTGCTGTAAGTCTGCAAATATCAAGAAGATTTTAAAGATGATATATTCTTGGCAAAATATATACATTAATTGATTTCGGTGTTTACAGCTAAATTTAATACTGGTGAGACAAAATATCTCACAATTTAAAAAAGCATATGAAAACGTACACCAGTTAAAAGCACCTGTAAAAAGCTCCTGAAAATATGCAAAATGGGTGCCATATTGATTTTATTCAGTGAAGAATAGATGCATCATTCCGATTAGGACCTTCAGGCGTTTCTTCATCGATTAAAATAAGAATCTGACTTCTTGAACATAATAATTAACATTGGCGAATCCTAGATAAAATTTTGATGCAAAACAACGGTCCATCGCATAAAATCACAGGCAGCAACTTTCAGCCTCCCAAAAATATTTCAAGTTTCTGGATCTTCGAAAAACTTACTGTTGATTTCGTTGTCGAATAGTACTGCAACTTTGAATTTCAGAGAATGTAGTTATTATAAATGTAGATTGTTATTCTAATATTTTACAAGGAGAAATTTTGCAAAAAAGAAAAAAAAATCTGAAAGCTTTTAAATTTTACATTACGCCCAAGAGGGCGTTTTTTTTTAACATTTTGTGTGTTACTTTAGTTTATTAAATATCATGTTTTTCGCACTTACGAGTAAACCATAAAATTCTATTCAACAGCAATATCGCAAAATAATTATAAAATGAGTATATCTTTAGAGCTTCCGATACACAGACTCGCGCGCTGGAGACAAAAATGGGGTTTCTTCGTACACAGTTTCCATTGCATGCTTTAAAATCGTTGAGTTTGATAATCAAAAATGCTTTAAAGTGTTACAAAATACGAAATCAATAATAAAACTAAATTCCAAATTAGGACTTCCAAATGCCCATATTCGGTGGAGAATTACGTTATTAAAAATTCGATGGGACTAGGTACAATTGATTTATTACAATGCGAGAAATATGCATGCACATTCTTCAGTATTTAATTGCCTTAAATATAATGCAGGGTGATAATATTTGGTGGCAACAATCTAAAAAATGGACATTTAAAGTTTCCGACTTAAAATGACAAAACGAAATTAATAGCTCTTCTGGTTTAATGCCCTTTGCGATAAAAAATTGCAAGAAATGCTTTAGAAAAATGCCTTCTCTGACAGGTTAACGCTAAACCACATCTGACATGATAGGCTATGAAATCTCTGGAAGAAACTGATAAGAAGTCTCTACATCTTCTTTCATACAGCTTAGACATTGTAAGCTTCAATGTCTGGGCTTTTTGTAAGCGGAATGCATCTTTAAAAGGCCAAAAAACGGGAGATGACACATCCGCCATTTTATACATTTTCTTAAAATGGTCCCCAACTTGTGTTTAAGAAGCTACAGAGTTTCTAGAAATAGCGAGTGAAATGCAAAACAGATGCTTTTGAAAACGAATGTCACTGCAAACGGCGTAATTACTCGAACTACGAATAGTGATTTCCTCTACGTTCGTTTAGAACAGCTCTCGTTTAAATTTACAAGATAGATTTGATAGAAGCACGTGTCGAGTAATTATTTCTGATCAATACTAAAAAAGACAATGAGCGTATAATCGAGAAATCTACGCACGAAAATTAGAAGATACCTGAGACTTGAAGATCTCTGGAAAACATGAATCTCATTCGTGAGTTTTATAGTTTGATTAATTTATGTATCTTTTGTGAGAAATGTTAAAAATCCACTCAGAAACTTTGAATTAAGTAGCTTTATTATAAATATTTAGTTACAAAAAACCATTTATTATAGCTTATGTATGTACATTCATAATTTTATTATATCATTTCTTCTGAGTAACATACACTCTAGCTTATTATAAATGGTATCACAATAGATTATTATAAAAATTACTTCAGTTCAGTCAGAATTCTATAACAAGCTTCCGTTTTGCGGTTAATAACTAATTCCAGTTCAGTTCGGTACCTTCCCTGTAAAATTAAATATAGAATACAAAGGGTTATAAGTGTCATACCGCATTTAACAAGAAAAGAGTATTTTTACTGCTTAGTAATCATTAAGACTATTGTTTGTTAGTCTTAATATCTTACTTCGATTATCACTTTGTACATGAAAAATACTAATTTATCAGAAAGTAGAACGCAAAATAATGTTTTATAAACTTACCTGTCATGTAATATTTTATATTTGCTTATGACAAGTAATGTGTAAAATCAATTGTCTTTCATGCATCCTCAAAATTAAAAAGAAATTCTTTAATTTGTGATCAATATAATTAAAATTTCCTCCAGACAAATTCCTTTCCATTTTAAAAAATGACTTGATTTTTACAAAAAACATTTAAAACGATTGTAAAAATATTTAATTATCAAGTAATTCATTTCAGAAAAATTGTTTCAAAAAATAAATTATTCAATTTTTAAAATCATGATGTTAATAAAATTATATTTATGAAAAAATATTTTAAAACATCTATTAGCTTTCCGTAAACAAACGAAATATATCTAAGTAATATATAAGTGAATTTGCAAGAATTCACTTTTGACATGCTTCAGTAGCACGTAATAGTATACATTATTTTTCTACATTTTCTATTTTATTCATATTTTTTTTCTCTTTGTAAAATTTTAATTTTTCTTTTTTTTTATATGTAAAAATGCTTTTTTTACTTTCTTGTACGAATTAAAGGAACTATTGCAATCACGAAACATTCCAGGCACAATATTTCAACGAAAATATCCATTTTGACCTCTATCGAATGCAATTTAACGATGTTTTTGTGTGACATCTGTAGGTAAGGACAGAAGAAAGGACTCGTTTTCCCAAAACGAATTATAAAACTCTTTTAAAATGAATTCAGAAATATTTTTTCGTTATATCTGTACGTACGTATGTATCTCGCATAACTCAAATACGAGTAGCTTCAGAGTATTGAAATGTTGTACATAGGACTGCTATAACATGTACTTGTGCTCCTCCCTTTTTGGTAGCAATCGACCGCACCAAAAGTATATATATATAAAACCCAATTACCCAATCTGTTACTCGGTTCAGTGAACTCAGATTTTTCATTCTTATATGTTGCTAAATTGTGCATTTTTTGCTTTAAAATGATTGAATGATGTTGTTCTTAACTTCCGGTTAAGCCTTTTATGAATTTAGTTAATCTGCATTCAATATTTATAAAATTATCAACAATTTAAAAGCTGTTTAAGTGCGGCTAAGCCTAATTGTTTTACCATAGCAGCCATATTTGTTTATATTTGAAACTTAGCAAAATAGGAAACTAATTCTTTCTGCGCCTTCAATGTCTTTTGCCGAGTGGAACCAAAACGAAACTTTTAGTTTTGTGCACCGAAAAATCTGCCTTCTTGCCTGCTGGCCGAATTGCCTGTTTTTGCGTAGAAACTGTAATTTTAATTGTAAAAATTGTTTAAACTGTATTTGGTTCTTTATGTTTTCCTATATCTTTCAATTTTTAATGAAACTATTTTGAGTTTTTAGGTATTTTTGCCTTTCCGCAATGTGAGAACTGAATTAATTGAATGAGAGATATATCTCTAATGAAATTCGAGGAAATAAGTTTAAATTAAATGTAGGACAAATGCGTTTAATTTAATATTACGCACAAGGAAGTCATGTGGTGTGCACATCAGCTTTTTTACTTAATGTTATGCTTGGAATAGTAAGCATAAATTTAATCATTTTTATTTAAGCTAACTATTAATTTGGTCGGTAAATATTGAATAGAAGTCAATATACATCCAGCGAATAATTTGGATATTTTGGGGGGCTATATTTTTGCTTGAAGCGTCGATCTGTATGTCCAAAAATGCGATATTTTATTATTCGGGAATTAAACTAATGAGATTATTAATTCCTATACTTGAGGTGACACATTCAAGTAATTTCACTTACTCAGAAACATGTTCTTTCTAGTAACATCATAATTTTCCTAACTAGTTCTCACGATATTTCTAAGATTGCTTGAATAATTTATAATGGGATATTGCATTACTTTTAAAATAACTTTAGATCATAAAAAGCATCCACATCTAACAACATTCCTTAGTTTAGCACAAAATTCCTTTTACATAATGAATGACTCCACAATGCACAGGAACAAAATTCCCACCAAAAACCAAGCCTTCAAGCTGTCCAAAACCACTAACACATTCTTAGACGTACGTTGACGCGTATTTTTAGATGTACTAGGATTAGAATCACGCATATTGTATATGTTCTGAAATTTTCCAGGTAAACTCATTACTTCGCCTTATATATATGGCAAACTACTCTGAAAGCTACTTATCCAACATATGGAAGTTTTGAGTAATCCTGGAAATCACTTCCATCGAAGACAAATCATTAGCTGTTATCATCACTTTTAAAGAAAAATTTATATGTTTTACAAAAAATGAGTATTTTACACCTAGCCCCTGAATATAAACTTGTATGATTGAACAATTATTCTATCTTCCTGAAAAGCATTCAACTCCGTGAGCATATTTAACATAATTGCTAAATATAGATTAAATACCAAACTGCTTCTATTAGGGTCAAATGCTTCTTCTTTTTCAGATACTATACTCAGTCTTTCGCACAGCTTTGTGTCAAAATAAACTATCTAAAGCATTATTCATTAACACTGAATATTAAGCTGCATTTACAAAGAAAATAACATTCTAATATGGTAACTTTGTTGAACAGAAGAAATTTTTGGAAGAGGGAATCAACGGCTAAAGCAGCTAACTCCTCTGATCAGCCACGCTTCGTCAACTTTGTGCGTTTGTTCTTTTATCAGCCACGCTTTACATAATGTATCACGTGTTTTCATGTACAAAACCGACAAATGATAGTACTTTTGTTCAAAAAGACGCCTTCATTTTTTAATATTTATTAATTTAAAGTGAATGTTATATTTGCCTCAAAGTAGATAAAAATCAAGTTTACTTACTTACACCACCAGCTGAGTTGCTATACCTCCTGTTATATGACTATCAACATTTGTACTCAATTGATGAAGCATTCTATTATCACTAAGCCTAGCCAAAAATCTCTATAGAATATTAAAATTTAATTAAAAGTTAAATAAATTTGTAGCTGAATTTATAAAGTTTCTTCGGAAGATAGGTATTTGTGACCTGCAGTTGTTAAAGAGACTCTGTCAGGACTTTGACTGTGCTGAATGATTGTTTTAAAATTAATTTAATTTTTTTATAAAATTAAGTTTAAAAGAATTTTTCAAAATGAGTTTAACATCTTAAAACTAAGTAGCTTTTTAACAATTCACCATTCCTTGTTTCATCAGTATATTCCCCATACCGAATAATGCAAGCAAATTATCATAATGCAACGGCAAAATTGTTAGGATTAAAAGTGATTAAATGTAATGACATATGTGTAGGGAATGTTTATGCTATCTAGTTGTTTTCATCCTGTCTGTCCTTAGCTTGTGGTGATTTATTTAATTTGACTAACAATTACTTTTTAGTTAAAGCAACTTTCCTTTCAATCTCGTTTTCACTCTACTGCCAGAATGCTAATGAGATAGCGCGCGTGTTTTCAAATTGAAGGAGAAAGAAGTACTGTTTCAGTGAAGATTTTAGAGTATGTTATGTTGAATGCTACGTTGTTATTTTGAATTACAAGAGATTGGATTCTGTGACGTTGAGTGCTTCTAGTCATTCGACTTTACGCCGGCTTCTACAAGTCAGAGCCTTTCTGGGCGTTAATTTACCCTGTAAGCTGTTAGGCTAATTTATTAACATTTTATTTTTAAGTTCAACATTACCTGTTTGTGTAAAGCGGGAAGACATGTGAACCCAATTGAGGCCATCTGTTCAACTACATGTTATTGAATAAAGAGTCGTTTGCACCCTTCTGAATTTCTGTTAAGACCTGAGAATAATTCCTCATACAGTCCTTTTAGAGCTCTTCCTTTTCAAGAAATGAATTACACTTGCTTGGATATTAAGTATTCTGATATTGTTCTTGAACATCGCTAATTAAAAAAGAAGCATAATGTACAAATAACTTCTAACCAGAATGCTAAGTGTGCCAAAACATTCCCAAAATTTTTGTGATTAAAAATTGCTTTTTTATTCGTTGAGGTACGTATGCTTAGCATACGCATTTAATTTTAACATTTTTAATGGAATAAGTTGTATGTTAATATGTTAACATAATAAAAAGGAATATTTTACTTTACCCTTGCTATATAACGACCAATAGCAGTTATGTCTGGAATTTCAACTTCTACGTTGTCACCACCATAATCTCCAGCCTTGACTGGGCATTTATATTCTACTCCTTCTGGATAAAATGGTTCAGCCTGGTCTCTGAACATTTTTAAGTAGTCACAAAGTCGAAGGGTGCTATATTGTAAATAAAGATCAATAGGAATTACGATTTAAAAGTACAAAACCTGCTGTTATTAAAACTGGTTTTTTTTATTAATATAATTTTATACGATAATGTCAAAAAGTTATGAATGTATTTATTCGAACTGAATACTTTCGCTATCTTTTTTAAGTAATTCAGTTGTTATATCATTAAACAATCTAACTTCTCTCTTCCAGATCATATAAGAGAAAATCTGGTTTTCTCATATACATATCACCAATAGTAGAAAGAAAATCGCTCTTTTTCACGGAAAGAAAAGAAAGGGACGCTTTTACGCACATTAAAATTCTTCTGGGCTAGAAAGATTCAACAGATAAATCGATTTCATTATTTTTATTTCTCAATTGTCATATAGTGTTTTAGCAAATTTCAATTTTATTTTAATTCCATCAAAATATTTTTAAAAGTTTCCAAATTTTTAAAGGAACCTAAGTAGAACATTCAGGATTTTGTTGTCCGGCCGCCCTGTTGGCATGGTGGTAGGGAAGCTGGTGGCTATACCATGAGCCCGACTTCGAATCTTGAAGAAGGCATGGAATCATGCCTCTAATGTATAGTGTCTTGGCAGGCGGGAGGCATTGAAAATACTGCTGATCCGAAAGTCATCTCGAAAGGTAAGTGGAAAGAGATGGCAGACCCTTGGATGCGTCTCACAGAGGATCTGTATCAAAACTGGATGGAGTTCCTCTTTCCTGGGGGATACTATTCGTTCGCTCGCTGTTGTGCACCTGGACAATATTTTCGATAATGAGACGGCTAAATGACCAATGAGACTGTCAATGTTTGGTGAAGTCTTAGCTAGCAGTTTCCGGCCGTTAGGGAAAAAATTCTTTTATGCCCAAATTTTTTTGTAAAATAAATACCCTCTAGGCAGTCAAAAATAAAATAGGAATTTTTTTAGTTTTCGATTTAAGATATAAATTTTGAATTTATAAATACTGCAGAATTAAAAATATTTCAAATTTTATCTTCTGAAGTACAAAATCATTTAATTCCTCATACCAACGTTAATGTCTCTTTGTATGAAAAATTGCATCAATTCCCCCCCCTAGGTTTATTCCCCTATATTGCTCGCAACACAAGAAACTACACCTAATGGTATTTTGGGACTCGCAACGTATTTTTAACTCTCCATCCTGCAATGACTCACAAAATTACTTGGATTTTCATTAAATTTAATTTTTAAGCTCTTATCTTCTCTGTTAATAAAATTCCTGTCAAAAAAATTAAAAATTAATAAACCTACTTTCGCTAACCATTGTTACTTCCTTAGCCATACGTTTAATATTTTTGTCAAAATTACAAAAACGCTTCCTTGTTTGAAGAATTTGAGCCCTCTCAAGCTTTCATCATATTAATAATATATCCTACTCATACTTTACATTAACGAATACAGTTTTATTTTTATTAAAAAAGGTAATCCATGCATTATGTAACTAGAACATAATCTATTTTGGAATTTTTAATAGTAAATTCCTTTTTATAGTGAAAACTGTATTCCGCAGTTTAAAATTTTTATTTTTCAGGCTCTTACTTTATTTCGTTAATTTAAAGAAGGAAAGGTTCTAAGAATTAAGTACGTTCTAACTCAGTTTGTAGAATTTTTGAAACATCCCTCGCATTTTCATTAGATGACCTCGAAAAATATAATATTTTTTATAACTAGCTCAATTTAAAGACTGAAGTTTGCTTAATTTTCATAATTAATTTGATATAGTTGCAAAAGTAAAGTTTGTGATATTTTACTACATCGATTACATGATATTTTACTACATCAATTAATAACTTTGTACCAGCTGGAAATGCACATTTATAAACATACCATGATCCAAACTTTCCGAAAAGGCAGGGGATGGGTACATCGATATCAACACCGAAAACTTTTCTCAGTTTATAATAGCGAGTCCTAAGTCTCGCATCTATCGGCACATCACGAAGAATCTTCAAATGTGAAGTGATGGTCATGTTCTTCCTCAAATCCACAGGATCTGGAGACACTTCGAACTGGGTCACTTCAGCGATACCATCCTTTTTGGCTGAAAAAGTACATTAAATGTTGAAAATTTTGTAAACAGTTTTTTTTTCTATTTTAGATTACATGGTGTTAAGAAAAGTAAATTATAGGCCCTTTCTCAAGAAAAGAATGACTATTTTCGTACATCTTAATAATTTTTCAGACTTGCATTTTTGTTTACTCATTGTTTAAAAATACTATTCTAAAAAAATGAAAGAAAAGAAAATTATTTATCTCCTTTAAATGTTATTTTTCCTATCGTAGTAAAACAGACAAATTGACTAGGTATTGTTTTTATTGGTTCTATTCCTGAAGAAATGCACTCTACATAAAATATATCTTACTTAGTAGAATGTATAAAACTATTGTGAGATTTGTTTGAATTCTAGTCCCCGAAGAATCGCCTACATCTGACGTTTTTTTATATAGAAACTTTTCTAACAAAAAATTCATTTTTTTGTTTAAGAGTTACATATATTTGGAAGGAAAACATCAAACCAATGGATAAACATGAAAAGAAAATTATAAATAAATCTTTTCGCCAAACTGCTACGGTTAGCGTTAGAAGTAGCCTTTCTCCTTAACACAGAAGTTTCTACCTCTTACGGTGTTTTACGTCTTTTATTTTTTTAATTAATTATTTTAAGTTTATAATCGTTCAAAATTATTAGCGGGTACTTTTTACAGCATTCTGGATGCTGATCTTCAGTTGAGTTAAGTTCTTTTAAGCTAAGTTTGATTTTTATTGTAGAGGGTTCGATAAATTTTACGCTTAAAGCAACATCATAAGGCAGCGTTTCTCAATCCGTGGTTTACGGACCACAAGTAGTCCTCGCAGATTGCCAAAATTAAAAAAATCTGATGTGTACACCACATGACTTCCTTGTACGGAATATTAAATTATACGCATTTTTTCTTGCATTTCATTTAAACTTAATGGATTGAATTAAATCTACTTCGTCGACAGCGCATAAACCACAATAGAATAAATGCACTCTTTAAAATTCACTATATTTGTTTAGCATAGCGACACTCTGGCACTAGGTTCACTTAATATTTCGTTCATATTATACCTCAAAATGCACAAAATATCATTGAAGAATTATCTAATCCTTATATCATTTGAAGAATTATCTAATCGTCGCCACATGTTCTGTTCAAATACTATAATAAAGCTAGAATGACATATAAAAGAAATTAAGCAAACAAAAAAAAAAAAAAAAAAAAGAAAGAAACAGTTTTTCACAGACGATTTAGTATTTCTCATTTAACTCATTCAGTTCTCCCTTCGCGACAAGGCAAAAATACGTAAAAACTCAAAATATCTGTATTAAAAATTACGAAGTAAATCATAAACACATATTTCATCGAAAAAATTCCAGAAAGGATTAAGCATGATTTAATTCGCAATAATAAATGAATGCGTTATCTTTGTTGTTGCGAAGCTTAGTCTCTCTAGATTGGCAACAAATCTACTATTCTTCTCCTTCAAATGTAAATGTTATGGAAAATTCTTATGTATTTTCCGTGGGGGAATTGTTAAGGAAAATTCTTATGTATTTTTGTTGTATATAAGTAGTTCGTATTATTTTACTGTGCATAATGTATTCTTAGTTATTATATTATTTTATTGTGCTTAATGAATTTGTATTGAGCTTATTTTTAAATTAATGTATAATATTTAATATTGTTAAACTTTACGGCAAAACTCCCTTAAGTTTGGCTGAATAGTTGTTACAGTTAAAAGGGCGCGGTTGTATTTCCGTTTCTCACGCGTAGGCGTCTTTGGAGGTTAGAGGTCACTGTCCAGCTGCATTTTCCCCTTTTTTCGCGGGGGTTGAAAACACGTGTTTTTCTCGTCCAGAGGCGAATAGTTCTAAGGGGCGGCGATTTTTTGACAGAGTATTAGGTTGGAAACATTCTTCTGTTGCGTGGGAAAGAAAGGGTCTGTCTTCTTGTAGAAAGTTCTGAATTTCTGAGAATTTCAGTGGCGATTTATGACCTTTCTTTTAATTGGCGAAAGGGAGTCCTAGTTTTCGTAAGATTGGCTAAATTTTTTAATTTTAGTGTTGTTTGAACCAATAGTAATTTTGAGGCGTTTCTTGGTGTGGGTAAACCGAGGTTTCTTAAGCCGTTGCACGGAAGGCAGGGAATCTTTTTTTTTGGACTTGAAAAAAAAAAGCGATTTTTAGAGAAGACTTTGAAGAGGTTTTTTTGGAGCCTTAGGGGTTTGCTACTTTGACGGCGGCCCCTACGGGGCCGGCCGCGGTCAGTGAGGTGCTGAGATGGTCCGGAGGAAAAACGCGGCGGTTCTTCGGTGGTCGACCGCGGTATACAGTTAAGTTTTTATTCTCCGAGAATTCTGGGTATGGAGGGCCCGAGACAGTGCGGGTTGCTGACGGCATGTTGACAGCGGCAATTCTTGCAGCCTATTATTTTCAATTTCGACGCTGAGATTTCTTTTTCCCATTTGTGGAAACAGTCTGAACTGCTCGTTCGTGCTGGAGTATCTATTTTGCTTTCGAAAAGAGGTGGAAATATGGAAAGTCGTCATCGCCTGAGGTCTGCTTTGGTCTTTTGTCTCCAGTTTCGACCTCTTTCTCTTATCTTCAGTGGAACTTCGAAAACGGGAAGATGATTGAGTGAAAGTGCTGCTTAACGGAGGAATTTGAAAACTTTAAACTGGAACAATGAAAAGGCTCCGGTTCCGGAAAACAACGATGAAGATTTGGATGTTATTGTTTCGGGATTTGTAATTTAGATCGGGGCAGCTCCCTGAGTCAAATTGAAAACTATGAACTATGAAAAGGCTCCGGTTCCGGAAAACAACGATGAAGATTTAGTAGTTATTGTTACGGTGTTTTGAAATTGGATCAATGGATTTGGGCAGCTCCCTGATTCTCTCAAAGGTGGTACGCCGATTTCGTGAGTGACTTTTTATTTTGATACATAATCTTTTTAAATTTGGGAATGTTTAATACTAAAGAAAGAGTTGACATGTTAAGTAGATAAAAATTGAATAATTAATTTTTTAAATGAGTTTAATATTCTTGAGTTCCTGCTTAAAATGATTAAGAACTGTGACGTGTTTCCCTATGATTTTTGAGTTAATGAAATAATGTTTAAATTGAGATTGTTATGAAAAGAAAAAAAACTATGAGGACTTTAAAAGATTTTGTAGGGGTAGTCTGGCCAGCTATCTTAAGTTATAATGTGTGGGAATTTTCAATAAATGTGTTTATTATCTTTAATATTGTATGTTTTTTTGTGTGTATTAATTGTGGTCTACTGTAGGTCACCCATGTGATCCTTACGGAAACATGGTTTTTTCAAATTCCGAACCTGGGTAATCATATTGCGGTAGTAGAAAAAAAATCAGTTTGAGTGTTGGCGACTATACGATCGGTTTACTGAATTTATTTTGATTTGATGAGTAGATTTCTTAATTGTGAGATTGTATCTTTCCCCGGTGTTTTGAAGATTTCTGTGTGGTATTTGAAATGTTAAAGGTTTTAAGGCTATCTCTAGATTTTGGTACTGAAATTTATGTGTTTTCAGGTTTGAAAGATATAAATTAGTTTTTTTGATTTAGTGAGAGATAGTGTTAATTTAGTTTTAATTTAGTGAGAGTGTTAAAGATTTAGTTACGGAAATGCCATTTTAAAGTTTTGTTTTTGTTGATTAATCGTGTTTTTACCAAAACACCAGGGAGGATATCTTTCTTTGATGTGTTTTAGATATAAAAGTTTTGATTGATGATGTACAGTACTGCACAAAGTTTAGTAGTTTGTTTTGTATTTTTTTGTCACGGTACCAAAAAGAAGTTAATTTATTTTAAAGTTTAATTTAACTTTTTCCTACATAACATAAATAAATATGTCCGCCATGTTATTTAAAACTTAGCCGCACTTAAACAGCCCTAAAATTGCTGATAATTGTAGAAATATTGCTTCCAGATTTACGAAAGGCATAGAAACCTTAACCGGAAGATAAAAACAACATAATACAATCATTTTTAAAGCAAAAAAATGTACAATTTACAAACATAGTATAAGAGTAAAGAAACTGAGATCCCTGAGCCGGGTAACAGAGTGGATATATATATAAATATATTTATATACGTTTGGTGCGGCCGATTGCAACCAAAATACGAGGTGCACATCTACATGTTATAGCAGTCCTATGTACTAAATTTCAACGTTCTGAGGCTACTCGTTTTTGAGTTATGCGAGATACGTACGTACGTACGTACATACATACGTTCGTACAGACGGCAAGAAAAATTCTCTGCAGAATTCATTTTAAAGCAGCTTTATAATTTTTTTGGAGGAAAAGAGTCTTTTATTCTGTTTTTACGTACATATGTCACGCAACAGCATTGTTAAATTGCATTCGATAGCGGTCAAAATGAATATTTTCGTTGAAATATGCTGCCTGAAACTTTTCGCGATTACAATACTTCCTTTTTACATGGTACAAGGAAGTAAAAAATTAAAATGAACTGCTTACATCAATCACACTATGGTTTCAAATACTCAGAGACTGGAAATTTCACATGGTAATTGGTTATCTTGTTTTCTCCCAAAACTTACTTTTTATGAAATTTATTACTAATTTCCTCTCCTACGACGTCTCACTCTAGTCTTAGCAACAAAATAGATATACTAACCATTGTCTAGACTAGGGATTCCCAAATATTTTCTTGCAACAGTGCCTTTTATAAGAAAGGTTTTATTCATCGCCCTCCCTTACATTTTTCTCCATGATATACGGCATACTACATAATCAAAATACAACTAACTGAACATAAATGGATAAGAATATGAATAACGTTTTTGGAAAAAAATGATATATCGGATTAATGTTTTATTAGTTTTTGTATCATTATCAGTTTTAATTTTACAGGTATAAACAGTTTTTCAGAAATAAAATCAAAGATTTTACTGCGCAAAAGTTCTATTTTAATTAATGTGATGGTTTCGCGGGATATATTGATGCATTTTTTTTAACATTTGGTACAAATATTGCTAGGCACAATTCCTTAATTCTCTTATTCAAAAATATTTAACCTATTTCTTGTTTTCTATAATAAATCACTGCCTTGTGTAAAGCTTTGCACTGCATATTGTACTTATTGCACAAAATCTTATATATTTAAAGAATTCGATTGATTTTTAAAATGTATTTAATATTTTTTGCATATTTTTCCCTTGTTATTATTTTTTCCTAACTACATTATATGGATTTATATCAAAAATTAATTATTAGTTTATTAACAGTTTGTTTTTATAATAAATGGAATCTTGATTATGCTGATCAATTTCCAATGTAGATTCGGTTATCGATCTTCAGTCAACCCCTTGGTCGTCTTTGATCCCCATTAAAAGTCCTTCGACTCTCAGCAGGCAATACATACCCCACTGGAACACCCTGATCTAGATAATTCATATTTTATGAAAGGTTGATTTGCGGTTTGCGCTTTACAGACATTCTGTACGTATAGGAATTACATAAAGCATGTTGAATGCTAGTTTAGAAAGCCCTTAGGAATAGTTCCCTTCTCTCAATTTCCTTTTTTTCCTCGCTTTGTCTTATTATTCTAAGTAATTCCACATTTATTTCCAAATAACTTATCAATTAATTATTCATCGAAATTACTCTCAAAATAGTTCAAGAAAAGTTTTACCCAGTGTTAAAGTAAAAGATGATTTAATCGTAAGCTACGTGCATTACGGTAACACTGTGTCTCAGTTTTCATTACTTACTTTTTATAAGCTATTCTAAAAGAGGAAGAGAAAATGTTATTTATTCAACTTATTGCACTGATGAATGGCACTCAGTTTCTCGTTCGTTAAAGTATGCTTCAAAAAACCTACAACAATGAAATGCTAAATATGTTTACATCAAAATACAGCCCTTAGCAACCAGAAAACATTCACTAAATCAAAGTCAAATTTTTCAAAAAATATAGAAAACTAATTATTTAAGGATCTTTAAATAACACGACAAAAAGGGAACTACCATTCCTCTAATGATTTTTCTTTAAAATTCTACGTCCAAAGTTCCAAATGTGGACTTCAGATTCCACCAGTTTATTCGGGGAGAGATATGCGCTCATTCATCATGTTCGCCTGATCAATAGTGACAAAGAGAAAACTTGAGCAGCAAGATCTTCCTCGTTATCAAGTATAGAAAATCCTCCATGAAAGTAATACTTCCCTTAGGCATATATGTATATTTCTTTGTCCCAGTTGCCCTGCATTTATTGATTGTGCAATGACTGAAGTCGCGCTGAGAAATATGTTAAGTTAAATTATCTGGTGAAGATCCATGTATAAAGTCAGATTTTTCGAAATATATAAAAACAGCTTTTATAGTATTATTGATTTTTTGTTTGAATACTTTACATTGAATGCATTTGTATATCCTTTTTTTTTATATTTTACAATGAATAGGAAGAATATAGTATGTAAAATGATATTTTCCTTAAGATGGTTTTCAGGAAACATTCTAGATGTTTTAACGAAATCTTGGAAGCATTACTTAAAAGTTACTATATCAACTTATTTTTAAACCGCAAACTTGTGACCTTAATTAAAAATTCTCAGTTTTAAATTCTTTACGATCACAATTATATCCTTTGGATGATTAGAAATTAGCTGACAAAAGTTTATCTATCATGAAAAAGGTGTTCTGTGGAAAATCAGTTGTTTAATGTCGATTACATTTTGGTTTTTGTTTCTGCTAAAATTAAAAAATTAATCTATTTCGAATTTATAAATTCATAATTTATTACAAATAAATTATTACTAATTTCACTATTTTAAACATATTTAAGAAAATAACTTTGATTAATGTATCTATATGGTTTTCACCCACAAACAACGTCGGTGCGAGCCAGTTTTTCTAATAAAGTTCTTCACGAAGACATCCCTTCGTTTAGACTTATATTCCTTGAGTGCTTTGCAGTAATGTAGCTAAAGTTATTTCTAGTATTATAAAATAATTTTAACTGGCTGCTACTGAAATCTGAAAACATTTTTTGAAAGAAAAAGTATCTTATTTGAATTTTACATTAGCTTTAATGTCTTTTTCGCAGTTATATAACAAGTTTTAATCCAGGTAGCTTGAATCATGCACCTTGATTACGCAATTAAGGTTCATTATCTTGGAAGTGAAAATATATAAATATATAAACATTGAATATGAAATCGATAAAAATTAAACAAGCCTCATTTTTTTAATATAAAAAGTAATACTGCATTAAAACCGCAGGAATATTTTCATCATTCGTAATATTAAGAAAAATTAACTTACTGCAGTCTGTGAATTCGAAAAATTTCGCATCTGCAAGACACCAAAGGGTGAATATAGCGAAAGAGTAGAATAGTAAAACCTTCATGGCTGAAGCATCAACGACTCACTGTGGAATTCAATGAAGTACTGCGACAAAATCCTTGCATAACAAATAGGTAGAGCAAATCGCAAGGGAATAAAAGCACATGCTGCTGAATTATCAGATCTGCAACACATTGTAAAAGCTCGGATTTTCCCCTCGTTGACACCTGTGTGCTAAATCTCTTTCTTAAAAATTTATTCTCAGTTGAAGTAAGATCTGAAATTGATATTAAAAGAGGATTCTCCATAATGTACAACACATAACATAATCATAATACAAATAATTTGTACATATTTAACTTAAAGATAAATAAAAGATAAAAAGACGGAAACGTCAATGACGTTGGTTCGGTAACAACTATTATTTTGTGATATTTCTCTCAGATGACTTTTAAATTCCACAAGCTTAGGGCATTCCTGTGTTTTAAATAAATAAGACTTGTTCTACAACATCCCCTTTCATTGCAATCAACTCTTCTTGCATCATAATATCAATATCAGATATATCGCACTACAACGGTTTTATGAGCCATGCCGCCACATTCAAATATTCAGTGTCTTGAAAGCGAATATTAAAATCTTCTTTTAAATTTTGCAAGTGGCCCACTAAATTTTGTGAGAAAATACAATTCTTTTCAATAATGGGCAATCACATTAATTTATTAAAATAGTGGAATTCTTTTTGACAGTGTCGATATAAACAAGTCAATTTTAAAATGAAAGATAATCATGATATAGCTTTCTATTAATAAATAAGTAATTAATACTTAATTATTATCAATAATATTTAATGAATATCAATTATAATTATTATATTATATCACTTATATATAAATATCATTTTAATTAATCGTTTGGTAATCAATTGCATTCTGAATATGCGTGTGAGTTGGCGGTGCATATTCGGCTATCGACCCCTTGATAGTCATTGACACCTTTAAAATATCATCGACCTCCAGGAGGTCTGTACCTACCCCTTTGGAAATCCCTGACTTCCAGGAATAAAATATTAAAAGAGAAAGGCGTAAAAGAAAATACATCATAAAAAATAGATGTAAATGTTATTGCATTTATCGAAGACTTTTTCGCGTGTTTGCAATACATTTCTTCTGCTTGTCAATACTACATCTTATATTATGCACAACCCTGTAGTTGTGATACATATCACTAATACTAGATATCAGAAATGGAAAAAACAAATTTTGGAAAAAGATAATTTTTCTGTACATGTGCAAGGATTCACGTACTCATAGCAAAATAGCGGAAATAATATATTTTCTTTATCACTAAAATTAAATACAATAGACACGATATTTTTATGAATAACCTCTTTACTGAGGAATAAACAGAAATAAAAATATTTACTTTATACTGTGATAATCACTCTGAGTTCAATCAGTTCAATAAAAAATATAATCATGTAAATGAATCAGTTCAACATTAATTCAACTTTTTCTTGAAATGTCGCAGTTCTTGTCTGAGTCTTGGTAACAATTTTACAGCATAACTGGTAGTATTCTTTCGTATGAGATCGAAAGCGCATTGTTGAGAGGTGAAAGCATTGCGGCTATAACATTTCAGGAAAAAGAAAGTAAGAAGAAAACATCATAGTTCTAAAACATCATGGTATAAAACATCGTAGAAAATGTCGTGGTAAATGGCTATAACACACCAGACGTATTTCCAGACATTCCATATTTTAAAGGGTTGTTAGCATAATGATTTGAGAGAGCAAGAAGGAGGGAAGAATATTTATACCTCTATATTGAATATTTTTAACTTAATTTGTAAGGTTTATACTAAGTTTTTAACAGTTAATGTTTAGTTTAAACCACTTTCCTATCGCTTCTTAATTTCAGCATACAGTTTTCTGCCAGAACGTACTTTTACAAACGCGGTTAAGTGTAAATGAAAGAAGAACAAGTATTTAGAGTTGAAGTTCTGCTGACTTCGTTAGAGAGCCAGAGATTCTGAGCAGCGCGCGTTCGCCGTATATATATATACGGCTAAGAATATATTTTGTGATATTTGTAAGAACGTATATATACGTGCATATTAAAATATGTCAAAGAAATTAAGGCAATATATCAGAAGTACACAAATCCAGGTATGTAATACCAGGAGAGTTTTTACATTAAAATAAAAAAATAATATGTTCTCATAGTAGGTTTTGGGAAATTTATGCTTTCTTAGCGAAAACCCTAGTCGCTCAGAGGGTATACATGTGAACTCGGGGTCTAGGGGATTTCTATGCTGATGACACACATCTTTAGGTGAATAAATTACTTTATTTAGATATTGATGGAGATACATTAATGACTATTTAAAAAACGGAAAAAAAAGAGTGATGATTGCAAGGTTACATCTTTGTTGATACATCAGTCTTAGTCGGAAGCACTGTAGAGACATTAGGATATTTTGGAAGCGAGAGAGATGAAAAATTAACAGCGCCGGGAGTCGAATCACGGACCTCTGGAATACCGGTCCAACGTGCAGAAACACTACACCACGAAAGCACGCTTGGAAGGTGGGAGAAATACCTTATAGCACCTCCTCCTTATTTACCATCGTCCATCTTATCGTGCATACCGTTAGTCGTGTTGAGTTGTCGCACTCCTGCTACTCACATACATTATACTTTAATGTATTAAATGTATTTAAATTTATTTTATTAAATATTAAGTATAATTGTTTAATCAATCTCCTTTGGTAAACTGTACTAGTTGTTTTTCATTATAATCTGTATGTAAAAATAATTTAGAAAAAGAAAGATGAGTAACAACATAACATAACCTATACTAAAATAGTTTAATTAACTATCAAATTGTAATTTTTTTTTCCTTTCACTCTTTGTTAGTCTGTTATTCTTTTAGTAAAATTTAAGTTTTGTTTTATTTAAGGTTTGTTTGCTTTGTTAAAGAGTTATTAACAACTTCATGCACAAAACTGTTAGTCCGAAAACAAATATATGCGATGCTGTCATCTTGTCATAGTTTATATGTGCTTTATTATTTATCACGGAGTCTTAGAAATGTGATTCTTTCTTTTTGCTTTCTTTTCTTCTAGAATGTTTTGTACGAAGATGATTTCTCCGTGCCTTATTTATCCGTGACATTTTCGTCCATGATGTTTTTGGTGGACTCCAGTACATTACTCTAAATACGATAAGAAATAGCCAAAAATCGCAATAAATTGCCTTTTTTTTCCCACGCGGCGGAGAGAAGAAGTGTTTCATTGCTTAATTAGTTTGATGAACTCTTCACTCGAAGGCGTTCGATGTTCTATTATGGCGTAACGGCATTTTAGACGAACACTTCGCTCAGACAGATCTTAAAAACATCATAAGGTTTTAATCAGCATCAGCTACTCAGTGAATAAACAGACAGTTCAAATACTTTAGCTCTACGCAATTCTAGCAACAAGATTAAGGAGCGATTTTATGAAATTAATACAATGAATACTAAACTTATTTTCATTACAGATGCGATGTAATAAGCATTTGGAGTTTGCTTAGCATTCTCTGCCTCCAAGTAGCACCTTCAGAATTGTAGCAATGGATTTTAACAGTAAAGTAAATCTCAGAATTGCAATTCCTAAGTATTTTTTCTCTTAATTATTTAATTCACTGAATTTTACTTTTGCACCACTTCTGACTTTTTACAAGATTCAAGTGGCTCACTTTTGAAACTCTTTGCACCACCCAGACGTTATGTTAAGTTCGCAAGAGTTTTCTCTGTAATTCCTTGATATGTTTTAAATTTTTCAACAGACTTGTGTATATTTTATAACACTAAATAATAAAATTGATTATTATTTACGTATATAAAGCGCTAATAGCACAACCTAACTTCTAAGTTGTTTTTAGTAACGTAGTTTTCTATCTTCTTTTCTAAATTGCCACAAATTTCCAGTGTATTTAAACTAAAATGAAATCTTCAAATAAGAGGAGCCGAGGGTCTCAAATCCAACTTCTTTAATGGTTCAAAGCTTAAATTTTCATGATTTTCCTTCTCAGAACATATTTATAGGTATTCTTTTATTCAATTAATAAATACAGTTAATTTTTGTATAAAAAATTGCAGATATATTTCAGTTCAGCATTCAACCATAATGAGCAAATTCGAACAAGTTTGAGATAGACTAGTCACAACAGCAATTTCGGTCTTCACTTTAAATAGATTAAAGATATCTTAGCTTATTGCATAACTAGTTTAATTTTATTCTGCACTTTTATCGTATTTTTTCTAACTTTTCAATATTTTTTTGTCTTCTAGTTACATAAAGCTTTACATGTCTCCGCGAAGAAAAATTTTCTTTTTCATCCATGAGAATTTTTCAAATTCCAAATTTTTTAAGAAACACTAGAATAAATTTGGGTTTTTAATCATAATGCATGATAACACATATATTTTAGATAAACAAAATAAACATTTATTCCTATTTTTACATTATACCTATAAAAGAAACATTTTTCTATGTTTAACAAAAAATATCATACTTAAAACTAATTTAATGAAATAAATTATATAGAAGGTTAAAACTTTTTAGTTTTCAGTGACTTCAATGTGTTTGAATGGCTTGATTTATTTAATTATGGCAAAGCACCCTAGGATTGTCAGTCTAAGAGGAGGAATGCCAGGAAGGTACGAAAACACTCATGTAGCTAGCCCATTCACCGGGATTCGAGCCCCGGACCGAACTACCTGTGTTTAGCGACTTTATCGCTTGGCAGCTGGTGGGATCGAGGCTCTTGATAAATTCTTTTAATCTCAGTTACAAAGTAAGAATCTTGAGTTCTTATATCAGATGCAGCCTTAAATTTAAATCTATATTTGCATTTTGTTGCAGCTTAATGTGAAAAACTTGCTTTGCACAAATCCAGCAAACAAATAAAACAAAATGGTAGATTTTTTTATTTTCATTTTATGCTAGAATAAATTATCAAATGAGTTCATTTTTTCGATATGCGCTTTTATCTGCGCTTACATCTGTCGGCTTAACAATCGTCATGAAATCCAAGATGCGTATTGATATTGATCAAAGTAAAATACTACTTCTAACGATAAAAATACTAC